CCACCAACAGCAGCAGCAGCAGCAGCAGATCTTCGGCCTCCCACGCGTCGCCGGGACCCGCTCGCCCGCCCAGCACACAAGCACGCGCGCACGTGGAGGGTCTGGATGCGCGGTGATCGGCGCTGGCTCGGCTACTGTGTAGTTGAGCAGCGGAGGGCGTTTCTTACTGACTAACTAACTTGCTCACGTTCTGGTTCACCCACACGGGTTTTGGTTGGTCTCGAGCTATTGTAGCGAGTTAGTGCGGGAAGGGCGGCGGGTGGTGGTGGTGATGATCCAAATCGTCGGGTCCTCGCTTTGGCTTGATTGGTATTAGTTAGGTAGGTAGTATGCTCGGTTCGCTGCTCGGTGCTTGCTGTTCGAGGCCGAATAACTAGCTGCGGCGAGCTACACTGGTAGGTGGTGGGCGAGCAAGGGGCGAAGTTGGGTTATGGCTGGCTAAACTTGTTGGTGATCAGACAGATGGCGTGCTCTTTGCCGACATGGTTGTCACCATCGATGGCCTCTAATGCCGGACGATCCCTCTCAGGCGCTGTTGGATTGAACTGCGGCACCGTTGGTGGGTGGGTAGATGGGGACCGTTGTTGACGAGACGAGCCCATAAGGCTAGGCCCAACTGCTCGAAGGCTTCACTAACAAGGAAACAAGGTATCATCATCAAGCTCGTCAAGAGCCTCATGAAAAGCGTCGTCTGCAACTAGGAGTGGCTTGGGCCGTCCGGGATAGTTGAGATCCAAGGACCAACCGGGGCAATAATGACACGCGTCGCCAGCTTGGCCGGCTTTTGAGCGTGTCTCGTGGCAATAGGTAGCTCGGTGGCCAACACAACACATACTACAGGACGGTAGCGTACCAATCAATGAATATATGATCACCTCACGGCCTCTCCACCTTGCACAGTGCTTCCCCTCCGACTCGGCCGCGACCGTGCCCTCCGGTAAGCCTCCAGTATCTCTCCGTCCGACGGCGGCCCGGCCCTGAGCCATCCCGTCTCATACACAGGCATCCGCGCCTTGAGTAGCTCGACGCGGGCCCGGTCCCAGAACACCCACCCCAACCAGCGCCACCTGTCCAGACTCGTGCGGACCCAAGTCCGCTGGAGCGACGTGACATCCTCCTGCCCCTCCCGCAGCACGTCCCGACACAGATAACCCCCCCAGCGCTGGCAGTCCAGCCCGCCGTGGGCGTCGACCCACGCAAACGGCGGGGCCGCGTCATCGTCGCCGTCGCCGTTCTCGCCAAATCCCAACGGCGCCAGGGCGTCCTCGCGCCGGTACAGCTCGTCACGAAGCGCCCAATCCTCGCGCGCCACGTAGCAGAGAACATAGCCCTTATCCGGCAGCGGGCCCGCGCGGAGGGACGGGAAGCGCTCCACGAAGGCCATCCGAAGGCCCGCCGCCGGGGCAGGGTCGTCCGTGGCGACGCCGGCGTGGCGCGCACTCAGCGCACAGCGCATCAGACGCAGGTCACAGAGGGCCGCGTCCCTTTGCCGCTCCCACGGCTGCTGGTGGCGCCTGTGGGCGCCCCGGATCCCCGGGGCCGGTGGGGGGAAAGCGAGGTCCGCGCTCTCGCACAGGAAGGTGTGCACCTCGGTCAGCTGCTCGGCCTCCCACGGCCGGAAGAGCCCGAGGAAGCGGTGCATGGCGGCGGTCTCGGGTGCTCGATGCTGGTTTGGCTCAACGCGCGGCCGGTTACGGCCGTGCTCGATGCGCGCGAGGACTTGGTGGCGGAGCAGGGCGGCGGCCAGGCGGCGGCGCTCGGTGGTGGTGGGAGGGCTGGTGGTGGCGGCGGGGTGGATCTTGTGCAGCTCGGGGAACCTGGTTGATGCGAATTCGTCGATGAGGGATTGGACGGTGCGGTTTAGGTGGGTGAGCGCAACGATGGTGTCGATGGGCAGGCCGCGCGTCGCCGACGTGAGTCCTCCGTGGTCGGTGCTGTGGGGGAGCGCCTCGTACCGGCGGATGACATGCTCACATTCTTCTAGGTAGGTCGGTTTCTGAGGGTCGAGCTTGGGCGGGGCGATCAGCACTACGGCGAGGGCATCCCGCAGCGCGGCGCCTAGGTCGGTTGCTACGATGTTGAGGAGCACCTCTTTTTTGGTTGGTATAAAGACCTGGTAGAACCTGGGGGAGGCCTGGATGAGCGCATGGAGGTCTGCCGTGGACCGCGCGGCGGACAGGATGGCTACTAGTATTTCCGTAGGCAAAAGTTCGAGCCCGCAGGTCGGGTTTGGTGGCGAGGATGGAGGCGGCTGCTCCTGCTGCTGCTCCCGGTTTTCGTGGGTGCTACGGCTCTCGTCCGCTTGATGCATGGCACAAAACTGCTCGGTGCCCGTCAGAAATCTCAGAATGCCGTTGTTATGGTGAGAAGGCTAGAACTAGCTATAGCAACGGAGACTCACCCACCATTGTTCGTAGAAACCCGGACCGCCTTGGCAGCGCATGTGAACAGCTGGTTCATCACAATTGTTGTGGCGAGCAGAACTGCATTGTATCTAGTTGAAGGAAGCGCTTCGTCATTGCCTGGGTACCTTATTTGAAATAGCATACCCTACTTATAATCGAGTAACGCCTCGGTTTCCAAGAGATAAATAAATAGGCACATGTTTAGAAAATAAAAATACTAAGTCCACCATGTAAAGCAAACAACAGTATGTAAAATAAATAGAAATAAAACCAAAAGACAAAAAGCTCACCAGCACGTCTGCTGGCTACGAAAACCCTCTTTTGGGTTTTACCAACACCGCTTACAAGGTGTAATGTTGCCTCTCCATTTTCGGAGGTGGGCCCATTGGGACAAGACTGTCCGGACAGTCCTGTCTTTTCAAGACCGACATACTATATGCCGGAATCGAACTCGGTACCTCTTGACTCGAGGTCAACACTGGCTGGCTGGAATTTCCCAGTGTGTGAGATCCCCCCGCTCGGCCATTTGCCGGACGGGGTTAAGTTGGTCGTACAAAAGAGTTGCCTCTGTACCCTTAGGCGCATGCGGGACAAGAGGGACCGTGCCCGCTGCGCGCGGGCCCGCCAAAGGAAGCCTGGAGGAACGCGCCGGCGCAATTAGCCCACGACCGCATCACAATGCCGTCGTGCGATTAGTTTTAGGATGGCTGATATAAAAGTTGGGAAGCAAGCAAGAGCAGTTCTTTGGTCAATCTCAGAAGTTAGTAATACAGCACAGCGGTGCTCCAGGGCTGGCTGGTATTTCGGGGATTTCGAGCATGGTTTGGTGACGAGGATGGGTTTCTACTTGCAACTCCCACAGAGCCAACTGGTACAAAGCAACTGACATCTGCAAAAAGAACTGGCAACTCAATTAACGTTCTTTAGTTCCTGAGACAGCCGGACACCCGGCGGGCTCGAGGGTGCTGTATGCAAGCGCCCACAGCATCAGGGCCCCCAACGTGGGTGTGTGTAATCCGTAATTGGTGAGAGCCTGTTGTTGCGGCCTGATCCCGCCCGGCCTGATCCTTTTCAGCTTGCTCTTGTTTTTCTCTGGCAACTGTTGTACAAGGCTGCGTTCCCCAGTGTGATAAAACAATATGTTGTTGTCACGTCGCCTCTCTCTCCTCGGGTGACTCAATTCCAGCTTCCGTCAATGTAGGCCAACCGTATATTCCTAACATTCTGCTCGCCAATCTGACGGTCTCATCCGCTTTCATCCGCACCATGACATCCCACAATGCTCTCGACAGCCCCGACCACTATGGGGTCGCTTGGATCGCTGCTCTTCCCATCGAGCGGGCCGCTGCAAAAGCGATGCTCGACGAGGAACATGCGCCTCCAACTGGCTTCGTTAGACACCAAACCGATGCAAACGTTTATACATGGGGTCGGGTGGGTGAGCACAACATCGTCATCGCCTCTCTTGCCGCCGGAGTCTATGGAACTACCTCGGCTGCGACCACGGCCTCGAGCCTACTTGCCTCTCTGCCATCCATCCGTGTTGGCCTTTTGGTCGGCATAGGCGGCGGCATCGCCCGACCGGACGAAGATTACGATATACGGCTCGGCGACGTTGTCGTGAGCCAGCCCGACGGGACCACAGGCGGCGTCTGCCAGTACGACTTGATCAAGGCCAAGTCTGGTGACAGGCGTGAGCGCAAAGGCTTTCTCAGACCACCTCCGACCGTCCTCCTTAATGCGCTTGCCAGCATCCAGGCCGATCACGAGTCGACGTACTCCAAGGTTCCCAACTTCCTTCAACAGATGCTAAAGAAGAACCCGAAAATGAACAGGAGATCCAAGCAAAATCCTGGCTATATTCACCAGGGCACCGACAACGACCGGCTCTTCCAATCTTCATGCGACCACGTCCCCGGGCCGGACTGTCGGAGTTGTGACACGGCTGACGAGGTTGAACGCGATGCTCGAGACACCACCGACCCCGAGATCCACTACGGGACTATCGCATCCGGCAACTCGCTTGTTAAAGACGCCGCTACGCGTGATCGGATTGTTGCCGACATCGGCGAGGACTGCATCTGCTTTGAGATGGAAGCAGCCGGCCTGATGAACCACTTTCCCTGTCTTGTGATCCGAGGGATCTGCGACTACGCCGATTCCCACAAGAACGATCGATGGCAACGCTATGCCTCGGCCACCGCCGCTGCGTATACCAAGGAGCTCCTAGCGTACGTGCCGGTCCAGGAGGTCCAGGAGACCAAGAGGGCACTGGACGTGCTTAATCAAGTTAGTGGTTCTATATCCTCCCACGCCCCGTGGCCTGGCCGAGCGAATAAACAAGACACAGTAATCACCTCACTTCGGAGACATTCTGACCTACATTGATTAAACAGAAACTCGATAGTGTGCAGCAGACCACTGATTCCATCCAGGCCGACCTTCGTACCGAGAAGATCGAGCGCTGGCTTCGACCCCCTGATCCGTCTACAAACGCCAACCACGCGAGGGAGCTCCGCCATGAGGGGACAGGTGCGTGGCTCCTAAAAAATCCGGTCTTCCAGGAATGGCACTCGGGGGCGCGTCGATATTTATGGCTGCATGGGCTCGCGGGATGTGGAAAGACGGTTCTCAGTGCGACTGTGCTAGATCATCTCGTAAAGGGAAACGACCGTCGTATCCTCAGCTTCTTCTTTGACTTCAGCGACACGGCAAAGCAGACCGTGGATGCCATGCTGCGGTCACTTGCTTTCCAACTCTACCGAGGCAGGGCTCGTTCTGCAGGTGTACTTAACGCCTCATTCCAAGCACACCAGGATGGCCGCAACCAACTTGCAACGAAGACGCTCTCAGATGTTTTATTCAAGATGCTCGCAGTCCAGAAGAAAGTCTCTATCGTTCTGGATGCCTTAGACGAGTCGAGAACGAGGGCCGACCTACTCCTCTGGATTAAGGACGTAGTGTCCAGGCCAGAGCTGGGCCACGTCCAGCTGATCTGTACCGGTCGGCCTGAAGCCGAGTTCCTGCGCGACATCCCCTCGTTGATAGGCGAGGGAAACAGCTTAGAATTTAACAAGCAGGCTGTCAACGCCGACATCCAATCATATGTCGCAGCACAGCTTTCGCAACGACGCGAATTTCGGGACAAGCCCTTGTCGCAAGATCTCCTTCTGCTGATTCAGAGTAAGGTTGGAGACGGGGCCAACGGGATGTGAGATATCACTGCTTCGATCGATATGCTGATGGTTTGCTGACACGGTGCTTAGGTTCAGGTGGGCGTTCTGTCAATTGGATAGCCTAGCTCGATGTCGTCATGAAGCAGCTATTGAGGAGGCTCTCGCATCTTTGCCGCGGACCCTGGAAGACACGTACCGACGCATGATTGAATGCATACCGATGGAGCTTAAAAACGACGCGATGCGGCTCCTGCAGTTTCTAGTGCATTCGACGCGACCTCTCAAGCTGGCCGAGGCCAAAGAAGTAATAGCAACGCAGATCGAAAACGAGCCGCGAGGGTTTGACGTCAAGCGTCGACTGTTTTGCGATACTGATGTTTTGGACTACTGTCCTAGCTTAGTGACAGTCGTTCACGCCGCCGGCAAAGAGCTACATCTTGCCCACTTTTCTGTCAAAGAGTACCTTCTCAGAGACGAGCGGTTCAACATTGCGATTGCTAGCATTCCCATTGCGAGGACGTGCTTGACTTATCTTACGGACATAAACGGTAACCGCGAAGAGATTAAGCGGGATTTTCCAATGGCAAGATTTGCGGCGGAAGTCTGGACATACTATGCCACGTTCGCTCAGGCTTCGGAAAATATGGTTCAAGCAACTGTTAGGTTCCTAGAAGAGGAAGTGACATTTCAGCGGTGGGCTCGTTTGTATCAGTCTGATAGGGCCTGGGACGATGACCCAGGTCCTCCACAAAGTTCCAGGCTCTATTATGCTTGCTTCGCTGGGCTCGTAACACCTGCGCAAATTCTTATCAGCAAAGGAGCGGACGTCAACGCGCAGGGCGGCGAATATGGCAACGCTCTCCAAGCCGCCTCATCGGAAGGCCATCAAAAGATTGTCAAACTACTGTTGGACAAGGGAGCGGACGTCAACGCGCAGGGCGGCCTTCTACGGCAACGCTCTCCTAAGCCGCCTCATCGGAAGGCCCATCAAGAGATTGTCAAACTACTGTTGGACAAGGGAGCGGACGTCAACGCGCAGGGCGGCTTCTACGGTAACGCTCTTCAGACCGCCTCATCGGAAGGCCATCAAGAGATTGTCAAACTGCTGTTGGACAAGGAAGCGGACGTCAACGCGCAGGACGGCGAATACAGCAACGCTCTCCAGGCTGCCTCATTGAGAGGCCATCAAGAGATTGTCAAACTACTGTTGGACAAGGGAGCGGACGTCAACGCGCAGGGCGGCGAATATGGCAACGCCCTCCAAGCCGCCTCATCAGGAGGCCATCAAGAGATTGTCAAACTACTGTTGGACAAGGGAGCGGACGTCAACGCGCAGGGCGGCTTCTACGGCAACGCTCTCCAAGCCGCCTCATTGAGAGGCCATCAAGAGATTGTCAAACTACTGTTGGACAAGGGAGCGGACGTCAACGCGCAGGGCGGCTTCTACGGTAACGCTCTCCAGACCGCCTCATCGGAAGGCCATCAAGAGATTGTCAAACTGCTGTTGGACAAGGGAGCGGACGTCAACGCGCAGGACGGCTTCTACGGCAACGCTCTCCAGGCCGCCTCATTGAGAGGCCATCAAGAGATTGTAAAACTGCTGTTGGACAAGGGAGCGGACGTCAACGCGCAGGACGGCGAATACAGCAACGCTCTCCAGGCTGCCTCATCGAGAGGCCATCAAGAGATTGTCAAACTGTTTGAAAAAAGGGGCGGTATGACATCGTCTTTGAAGCGCTCCAGCTCTAGAATTCCAGGCAACCTGAAAAAAAAAAACTTCGTCCTATGGTCCCTGAACCAGTTGATCAAATGGCCAATCGAGAGTAGAAGCTCGTTGCGATGCGTCTTGGGTTCGAGTCCTAGATTTTCGATCACCCAGGTGGAAATGGGAAAGTCTGTAGGATAGCCGCCATCTCCTGTTGATACCTCTCGTGTAAGAAGCACTCGTCCCAAGAAGGGAATCAGTTTGTACGCGGGCTAAACCGGGACCTTCAGTATGAGCAGCTTCCACTGACCGTGTTTGTAGGAAATACAAAGCTGAGGTCAATAGGAGTAGGCTCTTATTGAGCTTAAAGTTGCTGTAGATAGCGAGCTTGGTCTCAGCTAACTATCGCATTTCAGCCACACATGACACTCCAGGTGGGGAACGACGGCGGCGTTGGGGCGAACGTCGAGAGCATCGATCCTCAGGAGCATTACGAAGCCTTCCTGGATGCCCTATCCGTGGTCCGACGTAGCGAAATAAAGGATATGAAGAGGCGAGGGCAGTTGACCCAAGCCAGGACGACAACACTGCTGCCCAGCGTGGTCGCCATTTCTATACCATGCTACAGGACCTCCAAGATTCGCCTTTCCGTGGCATGGGATTCCCAGCCGCGAGGAGATCGACGCGGTATTGAAGGTCCTGAAGAAAGAGGACAGCAGCGTGACGGCGAAGATCCAGGGGACCTCGCCATTCCCGGGCTCCCCAATGGCACCATTTTAATCAAGAGCAAGACGGTCGCCATCCCGAGCCAAATGCGGGGCAAAGAAGGCAGATGGAGGTGCAAGCCGGGTTTCAGGTGGGTTACCCACAGAACCGGGCCTCTCTGCACCCCGGCCTTCGCCATGACAGATCAGAAGAGCCAAGGCAAACAGTTCTCGGATGTGCTCGTCAACCTCAAAGGCGTCCATTCGAGCGGCACGGCGACGCGGCCCAGCTTCATGAGCCTGTACGTGCAGCTATCGAGGGCGGAGAGCTGAGACGGGCTGCATCTGTTTCGGAAACCGGCGCGCAGTGACTTCATCGAGCCCAAGGATGTGCTTGACAAAGACATGAGAAACGCTATCGTCAAGCTGGAACAACGGGGCAAGGAGACCAGACAGCGGTTCGAGGAAGACCACAAGCACGAGTCGTGGCTTCGAGAATGGGATGCCATGCCTGAATCTGGCCAGGGCACTGAAACCGCCGACGAAGAGGACGCGCCCCTCTGGACCGAGACGGAAATCTAACGCGGAAAGTCTCTTTCAGAGTTGCTGCTATATTGTAATACGTCTATGAAGGACGTTTTCGTCTTCGTGGCCTCCGGGCCAGAAGCAGGTTCATTGTGATCATGACAGTGTCTGGTTTTGTTTCCGGCGAATAACGAGCCAAGAAACGGGAAACGGCCTCTCCAACCGAGCCAAGCAGGAAGCAACAAAGAAGACAGACAGCCTCTCCGGCCGATCCAAGCAAGAAGAGAACAAAGAAAACAGCCATGGGTTCAGTAAGAGGGACAAAAACGACACTGTTCACCGAAGAGGAAGGAGAGAGGTCCGTGCCAGCCAAGACCGTCTGTGCACCTCTGTTGCCAAGCCCAACTTCGAGACGCTCATCGTAGTTATCACGACCCGGACCTAGGGTCACGGTGATGATCTCTGTTGAAACATGAAGAGGTAAAGAAGCTAAGGAGCCAAGGGCTTGGCTATAAGGTGAGGATCGAGCATGAACCACCGGATAGCATCATCTACCAGGTAAGGGTTGGTTCCGTGACAGTCAGAGGCAAGTTCCACCAGCTTTACAATGCAGGTGAGAATACAGGCGAGAATAAAAGCTTTACAGTACAGGTGAGAACTGATACTGTTTTTAATAGTTCGAAAAAGGAAAGAAATTGGTCCATATATATATATATATGCTTGGAGCATACCATGGCTTTTCTCACTTAAGGAAAAAAATACCTTCCGGAAGTACTCGTTCCTCGTACGTTCCTCCAGGCATACGCGGACACTGTCACATGATTGCAGAACTGCTCTCAGATCAGATAAACACATGGACAAATTACAATGAGGCACACGAGCAATATATTCACATCTATATTACCACCACCGAATCCGTACTGCGCCAGTTACTGCCCGCCCGCGTACGGACTGTACTTTGTCATATGCTCTGCGAGCTGCTCGGCAAATCACTCGGCCGGCTCGGCACTCAAACGCGCCGTCTCTGCGGTGGTCAGGATGGTCTTGATGT